TTTAAAATGTTAAATTGTAACTTAGAATTATAAAAAGTTAAAAAAAAAGTGTATTTGTTTAACTATGATACTTTTATAACTGGCTATAGATTATAAGATCAGATTTATTAAAAATTTCGTTTTTAATAAATGGAATTCTACCTAATGTCGTGGCCAATTTCGGATATGCAGGCATCCTTGATCCATGATTTGACCACTGTACACACGGGATACCATTGGCCCTTGAAGTTCTTGTGAAGGTATCCTTCGATGTAGCCAATCGTGAATACCTAATAAAAGATTTATTAGGATAATTAAGATTAATAGATTAAAAGAGGAGAAATAGGAAAGGAATTGTATCGATTCGAGTTACATTTTTCCCTTCGACGAACGAAGGGGTGAGAATATTGCATTCCATTTCATCTTTTCCATTGGCACAATTCTTCACTCCGTCGCATCTTTGGGAAACTGGGACGCAATTGTCGTTGTTGTATCGTCTTTGCCAATCGTTGCAACTGAACGAAGTCTTTGGACAACCTGAAACACGATAAATATTCAATTAGAATAAAAAATAATAAAGAATTTTGCATCGAGTTAAACGCAGTTCGTTGTTCCATGGATAAAATAGTTCCGGATGCAGTATAAGATAAGGATACCTGATGCCATCTTGTGTGAAATATGCACGATCATAGTGCTACTATGTCGTAAATTAATTTTATATTTTAAATTATATTTTATCGAGCTCCGATAATTATATAGATATTTCTCATTTGTATTTAAATTCGTTGCATTTTTCTCACATCAGTTTTTAATATTTCACTTATTGAATAATAGATTCTTATACTCTATCGATGAAACAGAATTCTACTGTACGACCTACTTGTAACAAGTATTTCATATCTATATACACATATATACATATATATATATAAAATACAAAGTTGTAGATTTCATCTAGAATGCCAAAATAATATAAATTATAATATAATCTCTTAGAGAAATAATATTTTAAAATTCTAAAATTCCTCAATATTAAGTTCTGTAATTCTAGAGTTCCCTAGGATTTCTCTAAATTCTAAAATGCTAAAGTTTCTAAATATATATATTACAATTGCAGAATATAGACGTTTTAAAGTAATAATAACATTTTATAGTTGTGAAAATTCCCTAGACTCAAGTTCTAGAGTTCCCTAGAAGCTTTATAAATTGTAAGATCCTTACCCAAACATCCCAATTCATCTTCTCCTTGCGGGCAATCGAAGTAACCATCGCAAAGTCGTTCTTGCGAAATTCGATCTCTACAAGAGCACGTGATCTCGTCACTTGCGTCGTAACAATCCACCAATCCGTCGCACCACTGCGTTCTATATATGCATCGTTTCTCGTCGTTGCATTGAATCATATTAGACGGACATGATCTAGGATATTCTATCGAGACACCAAAATTAATCTTTTTTTTTTTTTTTTTACAATTTCGAAAAGCT